CTGGTCAATTGCTTGGCAGAGTAAAGCCAGGAGGGAAATCCAAACAGATATATAAGAGAGAGTAGGTGGAGTCAGGAAGACGCCAATCAGCTGACAAAGGAGACAGGTGCCAGAGCCTTGTGGTTGATACATAGATCAATAGAAATGGGTTAATTTAAAATATAAGCGCTAGCTAAGAAAATGCCTGAACTATTGGCCAAACAGTGTTGTAAAATAATATAGGTTCTGTGTGATTATTCGAGTTTGGGCAACTGGGAAACAAACATGCAGTCTCCTGTTTACATTAATAAGAGTCTCCGTGTCATTATTTGGGAGCTGATGGAACAGAGAAAGACTTGTTACATTTGGAGCCCAAGCATGGCATGTAACATCCACACAGAGCCTGAGAAAGCTGGGGAAAGTGTCCTAGTAGGTGCGGGGCTTGCAGCCTACCCAGGTGTGGCCACCAAGCACTCACACAGGTTTGTGAGCAACAGGCAGTGCACTACTCAGTGGAAGGAAACGAGGTACAAGTGCCTACAGGAGCTGGAGCAGATAGCATGCCAGGGCACAGACGTGAAGTCCTCTCACCCACCCGGAGGGGCGGAGCCAGTCAGCAGGCCGTGTGCTAGAGTCGTGCAGCAACCACTTGGTGCTCACAACCATTTGTAATGAGATCTGGTGCCCTCTTCTGGCCTGCAGGCATATGTGAAGACAGACCACTATATATAATAAATATACAAATCTTAAAAAAAAAAGTTTGTTTCTAGAAAAAAAAAAAAAGCGCCCAGACACCAATGAAAACAAGTAGCCCAGGTGACCCAGCCTCTCAGAGTGCCTCTGCTGCAGTTTCCTCAAAATCCTGCATCCTGAACAACTTCAAAGCTGCTAGCCGAGAAGATCCAGCCTCACAGACTACTCCAGCTAGGACTTCAGATTAGCTCAACACTTTCCCATCACAGAGCCTAGACAAAAAAATAATAGTTAGCTCTCCCAGGGCTTGACTGGTAAGTGAAGGAAGCTGGTGGTGGGCGTGGCCTACAAGGTCAGTCTGGTTAGGCCTGCTTTTCAGTTCCTGATAGAAGCACCTTGCTTGCTTCTTCTAAGTGTGGTGTGTGAAACAAATGGCACTTGCCATTCATTCCTCTCACAGGAAAAGAAGCAGACAATAAAAGCACTCGGATCCCTGCTGATATGGGCAGTGGTCAGGCGGAACCTGGAAAACTGCCAGGCTTTAATGTCTAAAAATGCCCCGTGTTTCAATGCCATTAAGCACAAGGATGCGCCTTTCATACATGTTTATAACAAAACTGTGTAAATTCTTGAGTTAGGAAGCTAGGTAAGCTATTCGTAGCCACTTACTAGCTCGTTCTAAAAGCTATAACCTCATGGAGAAATGCTTGTTGTGGATGGAGGGCAGCAGCTGATTGGCTGTGTCGGATAGGAAATTAGCCGGGTTTTTTTTTTTTTTTTTTTTTTGGTTTTTCGAGACAGGATTTCTCTGTGGTTTTGGAGCCTGTCCTGGAACTAGCTCTTGTAGACCAGGCTGGCCTCGAACTCACAGAGATCTGCCTGCCTCTGCCTCCCAAGTGCTGGGATTAAAGGCATGCGCCACCACCGCCTGGCCTGAAATTAGCTGCTCTTGCCGAGGACATTGCCCGCTGGAGTTCACGGCTATGACAGTGGTGGTAAGACGGGCATCCACACCGCGTTTCTCAACAGAGAACGTCTCTAGGACTTTCCCACCCCGGCCCCTTCTTGTGCTCATAAAGAATTTGACAAAACTGACTCGCCTCTGTGACTGAAGGCATCTACTGACATAGCTCAACTTGAGACAGGACAGTAAAAACTTGCTGTCTGGCCAGCAATTAGTACTGCTTCCTGTCTATTAAGCAGGGATGAGGCTGTGGACTGGGGACACCAGTTCTTGTGTGGCTCTCTCAACTGCTTAGGCTTCCTTCCTGACAGAAAATGGTGTTAAGAAATGTCCCGGGTCCAGACCAAGGACAGCATCTTTAGTCTCCTTAAAGCCACACTGCAGCACATCCACCACCCTATTAGTGAAGAGAACTAGGCTACAGCCATAAAAGGGAGGGAACAGAGTCCTCCTCGGTGTAGCAGCACCGTCATGAGGGTAGACAGGCAAGCAGGATGTGAGCCTTCCTTCCTCATATACTAAAGTGAACATTTAAACACTGTCTTTATTATATACAGTGTTTCACCTGCTTCTATGCCTGCAGGCCAGAAGAGGGAATCAGATATTATTATAGATGCTTTTTGAGCCACCTTGTGGTTGCTGGGAATTGAACTCAGGACCTCTGAAAGAGCAGCCAGTGCTCTTAACCTGAGCCATCTCACCAGCCCTAAATACTTTGTCTTTGGTGCACTGATTTCTCTTCAGACTGCACCATCCTGCCTTTTTGCTTTGTCTCCATGTATCCTTATCCTCTACTATTAAAAAAAAAAATTCTCTATTCTTGGCCTAAACCTAAATTAACATTTTGTTAAGTGTATACATTTCAGGGACTGGAGAGGACAAAGGTTTGATTCCCAGCTCCCACAAGACAGCCAGCTCTTTAACTGTAACTTCCGTTCCAGGGGATGACACCCTCACACAAATGTGTACATAACACATACTATTCTTTTCAGTTTGTCATTGGTGGCACACGCCTTTAATCCCAGCACTCGGATCTCTGAGTTTGAGACCAGCTCAGTCTATAGAACGGGTTCCAGGACCCCCCAGGGCTACACAGAAAAGCTCTGTATTGAGAGAGAAAAAAAAACTAAGGAAAAAAATTACATTTTCTTGCTATAGATATACTTAGTGTACCTGTAAAGAATATGCCATTTGCCTGTTTTTGAACTCTGCAGATTGAAGCACTTCTAGGGGCAATTTTCTGATGTAGTTATTTGGTCCAAAGTTGTGTGTGCTGTGCACGTAACCTTTGTTCATTTTCAGTGCTGCTTGGCATTTGTTGACTGTTAGCTATCCTTCTGGGTTTTACCTCCATGTGATGTGAGGCATGGCTATTTAGCCTATGGCTAGGTAAAACTCAGTGTGGAGCTTACTGAGCCAGCAGGGCTGGCTGACCAGTCTATCCTTCTCAACTGTGACTGGTGGTCGCCAGCACTGACAGGGTTTTTCAAGACACTTTGTGGTTCGGGCCTTTGATTCTTTAACATAGCCCACAGCAGGTCTGTAAAAACAGTATTTGGAACATACCAGTATTCTATATCCACGGACCCAGGAGAATCAATTTCCTACTCATGTTAGTCATTGCTCATCTGATATCCAGGTAGCCCAGGCTGGCCTCCTCAGCAGTCCTGCCTCAGTTCCTCAAGCATTTGAATTACAGGTTAGTCCACTATATGTAGTTTCACTAAACCCCTCTCTAGCATGCTTTTTCATACCTAAATTGCTAATTTTAGAAGTTTTGCAAACACTTTTGACTGGATAGAACTGTAATACCCTGATACAGAAACGTCAAGATCTTGATAGCAGCTATTACACACACAGCTGCACAGACCAGGTCAGGGGACTTTTGACCTTACTGAATGAGATAAAGGGTGTGGAGACGCAAGCACATGGAAAACACAGGAGTCAGCACTAAGGTGGTACAATGTCTTCCCCTGCAGACATGCTGGTTCAGTATTTCTGGGGACCGTTTGCTCTAGCAGGAATCATTTACTGGTCACCCAAGTGGGTAGGTCCTTAATCTGCACCTTAAGAGGTTCCTCTAGGTTTTTTTGGCTCACTGGATATTCTCATCTCATTGGAGGTTTCCCTTTCTCTGTAGCCTGATGTCTGACTCATGCCTCCACTCCACTCTCCAGTCAGTTTTCCCAGTTCACTGCCATATCCTGTGGGCTTAAAATTTTTAGTCCAGGGTCAAATGTAAAAATCTGAGATTCTTCAATCGCTAAAGGGCCATTCTTAAATCTCCCACACAGCTAGACAACCAGGCCCACCTAGATGTGTTATTCAGCTCAGGCTGACCTGGTTCAACAATTTCCTAATAGTCGCTTAAGGGCAAAATTTGTCTCAAACACTAATATTTAGTGAACTGCAGAAAGTCTTCACATCAAAATTACAAAAGCAGAATTTGTAGCCAGCATTGCTCAAGATGATAGAACCAACGCCAATCTTGGCTGTTGTGCACACACATCCTAAGCCCAGCCTCGTGCCAACTGTAAGCTACTGAGCGGCAGTCCTGGCACAACCATCAACTGCACTTTTAGAGCTTAAATCAGCAAGGACCACCGAGAGAAAAGGGAGACAGCTCCACAAGGATCCCTTGACCCAGATCAGGAACCTCCAAACCCAGTAGATATGCCCTCCTCTAGCCACCATGCTTTAAATACTGCGAGTTTAGCCAGGTGGTGCACACCTTTAATCCCAGCCCTTGGGAGGCAGAGTCGGCAGCTGAGTTTGAGGCCAGTCTCGTGTCTGAACCAAGCTCCAGGACAGTCAAGGCTCCTGAGAACCAAAAATTAAGAACTGGGAGCTCAGACCTACTAGCTCCAGTCACAGGTGACCTGTCAGCAACTGGCGGCAGCAGGGAGCGCAGTGCTGCCCTCAAGACCACTCCAGCTGAGAAGTCACTGTAAATTCCCAGCACATCAGCAGACTAGCCCATTCTGCTGCCAAAACTAGTGAGGCTAACTGCTTGGGCACCAGTACCTCAGGCATTGTTAACTGTTGCAGGACACAGAACCCAGTGGCACCAACCTTGTCTTCATCCCAGAAGAAAGAACTCTGCGATTGAGGGAGCTACAACAGGGACCCTGTATCAAAAACACCACAACCGATCTCACCCATGCAATTTCTACACAGGCACCAAACACCTTGTTAAAGGGCAACCTCAAATTTAAAGCAGAACACTAATATTCTCTAATTGTATTTACATGAAAACCCTCTCCTAAAGCCTGTTCACTAACCACCCCATGCCCGTGGGCTCACTTCCATCACCTTGTACCCAGTGCCCATTAGATCCCGTAACAGCAACCCAGGCACTCAAGAGACAGTTTGTAGGGACTTTATTTTCCTTCCACCTTTTTTCCCTTTGCTCAGGTGTCTGCAGAGGAGCTCAGGACCACTCAGTGGTGGCTCCAACCCACTCGGTGGCCTGCGCTGTGGGAGCTGCTGACCAATCCTCAGTGGTTGGCTGGGCACTCCAGTCTTCAGTAGGGAACTGCTGGATGGGCACCGAGGGCACCTGCACCCCCTCAGACCAGTCAGCCACCTCTGGCTGAGCAGCAGTGAACTCAGGAGCTGGTGCAGTCCATTCGCCCTGAAACTCCTCCTTGGTCACGGCCTTCTCAGCAGCAGCCTGTTCTTCCTTCTCAATCTAGTTTTTAAAAAGACCATAATGAACAAATTTAGCTTCACTGAACCAGACCAAGGTATCCCATTCACTTAGTGGCAACAGGCATTTAGTACAACAGGCCTTACCTCCTCTGGGTCTCTGTAGAAGTAAAGATCAGGCATAACCTCCCATGGGTGCTCACGGGAGATAGTGCCACGCATGCGGAGTACTTCCCGGGCCAGCATCCACCACATCAGGCCCACTGAGTGAGCTCCCTGGAAGAGCGAGGGTCATTAAAACACCTGGCCAACCACAAACACTAGTCTGTCCCCACTTCCTCCTGGGCACAGGAACACACTGGCACAGACATACACGCAGGCATAACACCCCCATATTAATTAAAGTCTAAGATCCATTTAGGAGAAGCCCAGGCCCATATCCTACAGGCATCAGTCAGGCTTGTAGCAAAGGTTACTATCAAGCTCCACTCACGGGACAGAGTGGGGGTTAGCGAAACCTTGCGGCTCGTTTAGCACACTACCTACACTTGCGAGTTCATCGGCCAGGTTGTGACCTCAACTCCAAGCTCTAACAATGTGCACAGGAACGAGAGAAAGGTTTCCCAGAGTGCTCGTCATGAACTCTACACAAGTACCTTGTTGTTGCACGGGATGGCGATGTCCACATAGCGCAGAGGTGAGTCTGTGTTACACAGGGCAATGGTGGGCAGGTTCACGTAAGACGCCTCTGTGAGGGGCTGGTGGTCAGCCCTGGGATCGGTCACCACTAGAAGCCTTGGCTCCCTGAAGGCTGCCTGGATCTGGTTAGTGAAGGTCCCTGGGGTGAAACGGCCAGCAATCGGAGTGGCTCCAGTGGCGGCAGCAAACTTCAGCACGGCTCGCTTTGAAGAGATTCTGAGTCAGTATTTTCAAGCAGCTTCACGGGAACTGCTGATACCCTTTCTTCTAGGCACATGCTCTCACCTTTCACACACTTTCTTTTTTTAAAATATTTACTTATTCATTATGGATACAATATTCTGTCTGTGTGTATGTCTGCAGGCCAGAAGAGGGCACCAGAACTCATTACAGATGGTTGTAAGCCACCATGTGGTTGCCGGAAATTGAACTCAGGACCTTTGGAAGAGCAGGCAATGCTCTTAACCACTGAGCCATCTCTCCAGCCCCTCACACACTTTCTTGAACTTTCTTGAAGTACTCTCTCCGCAGGCTAATTGCAACACTTACACATTCCATCTCATCTAAGAAGCATCTCACATGACCCAAGTTCCTCAAAGGACAGAGACAGGCCCACAGCAAACACCTGTGGCTTCTGGCAAAATACACCACAAAACAGACAAGTACATATGTTCTCCCTCCTTTTCGTCTTATATTTAATGTCTGAGTGGTTTATGTGCAATGCATACAAGCACAACACCCATGCACACGGAGGCTGGAAGGTGCCGGACCTTTGGAGTTATGGATGACTGAGTGCTGGCAACTAAACCCAGGGCCTCTGTAACACTGGGTGTATGGTGTATCTCTGCCCCCACATGTGGGGACATACAGGATCTCAACTGGGTAGCCTTGCTATTTGTAAGAGATCTGCCTGCCCCCTCACCCTAGAGATTTCCCAACTCCCTCCAGGAGATGGTCCTTTCTGCTCTATCCAGGTACTACAAACACTTCCTGGGGAGGGAACAGTTACTAAACCGGATTCTATCCTGTTCCACAGCCAGGTCTACTCTCCCGAATCACACTCACAGGACCCTTACTGCAACATTAAAACAGAATGCTGTTAGTATTTAACTCTCTCAAACCTTAAGATAAATTGAATATTCACCAACTCAGCCAGCACACATGTAACAAAACTGTTAACTTTCTTAACAGGAAAGATACACTTCCTCGTTTTTTACAATTGAAACAAAAGTTCTCAAATAACTTAAAAAACTCTGAAGAACCCGCAGGGGCCTGTACAAGGACCAAGCCCAAAGGGAATTAAGGTATTTTGCCGCTGACATTATGCCCGCCACTGAGGGCGGAGGGAGGACTGTTTCCTGCATGGTTTGTCTCCTCAGTCATCGTCCACAGGACTCTGAGAAGCCGTAGGAATATGCAGGCGCAGGCACGAAGCCCAGCTTCATCTCCAACGCCGTGGAAAGGGACTGTACATCACAGGCGGTGCCTATGCTCCCCTTGGCCACTAGGACAGAGCCCAGGGAGAGTGACCTCCTGGGGTATCCACGTTGGGTCTCTCTTTCTACACCCTCCCAGTGTCTTCTGTGGATTCCGGCCACGGCCTCCATTCTACACACCTGCCCAGTGTTCCTGGAGGAGATGACGCTGACATCAGCAGGGTTCTCGATGGCAACAATAGCCCGAGCTGCAAGCAGCAGCTTCTCCCAGGTCCTCTTCAGATTGATGATGTAGATGCCTACGTGGAAACAAGTGGACGGGAAGGGCTTTCAAGACTGTTTTATCCTGGCACTCTGAAGGCCAGGCTGGCTAGAGCTCACACATCTAACCGACCGCCTCCCAAGTCTACCTGGCAACAAATGATTTTGTTAGGGATTGAGCCCAGTGCCCAGATGGATTTGCTAACCTAGCTGGACAAACGGACACTCTGGAGGAAGGCAGACTATGGATGTGGCAGAGACCACTATCAAACTCCAGTCACAGAGGCAAGCTCTACTGGTGTTAGCGAAAATCCTGCCATCTGTTCAATGTAGCACACTTCCGACACTCAGGAGTTCACTGGCCCAGGAGGCCTCCACTGAGCTTTAATAGTGTGCAGCTTGAGTTCCTTGGGGTAATCCTCCATCATGTCCTCTACCCTGTGGACCACTGCATCAACTTCAAATCCGTCCTACCAATCCCTTACAGCACTCGATTCTCCCTCAGGTGCCTAGTGAACTAACCCCGCCCCTTCTCACAACCCAGCCTGCCAATTTTCCTCCACTCTTGCGTATCCCCACACCTCATTCCACTTCCCACTAAAGCTACGCAGACGACCCCTATGACTTCATCTGTGACACAGGGCGCACCGTAGGATATAACATATCCCCAGCCAGCTGCGGCACCCCTCCAAACTACAGGACAGTGTCCCAACAGAGCACTCAGTATCGGCACTGCCCACAGCAGGGCAGTCGGAGACTTAAGAGAAATTTACCCGACTTATCAAAAGCGGTAACTGACCATCACTTTTCCTTTTGTAGATGTACTGCTCCATCTGAAAGTCGAGGTTGGTGCCACCTAAGTGGGTGCCTGCAGCGAGGAATTTGAGGACATCCTCCTCCTTCATCTGCAGGACATCAAGGGCTCCGGACATTGTGTAAGTTTCCCTTTAAGTTACGTCGGGAACCTGGAAGAGCAGAAATGCACCATGTTTTCCTGTTTCTTTTCCGAGCCTAGATCTCCACGTAGCCCGGGCTGTCCTAGCACTCATTCCCCACGCCTCCCGAGAGCGGGGATTCAAGGCGTGAGCTTCCAGGCGCCGCACGTCCTCTAGCATGGGAAGCTGCGTGGGATGGATTCGTACACTATCCCTTTTAACTTCTGTGGCCATCTATCACACAGGTGCATCGGACCTTGTGGCAGAAAGAGAACTCAGGAAAGGTAGCCAATCGGAAGCTAAGGCTTCCGCAAGCACACAGATATCAAAGACTTGTGCAAAGGCAGCCATGTTTGGGGTGTTTCATGCTTTTCGTAGGTCGAGACTGGCCGGCAGCTCCGGATCCGTCTCTACGCGCCTCACAAGCACTTTCCCAGCACGCGGCCGCCGGGGCCTGCAGCCTGGCGCGAGCGCCCGCCCCACCTCACGGGAAGCCACCACGTGGTGCCGCCGCCGGCTCCGGGAACGAAGTCGCTCGGGTAGGCGCGGCCTCGGGGCGTTCGTGCCCATCCACGGAGCGGCAGGGTCGAGCCCGTGACGCCGGGCGGCACCGAGGACTCCACCAGAGACTCACCAAGAACAACGCCGTATGGACCCGTCCCAGGGCAGCGCGGAAAGGACCGGCGGCCGGAAATGACGTTATTAAATACGCCACAGCCAGCCAATAGCAAAGCAGATTGAGCGAAAAGAGGGCAGAACTTTCCTCCGGAAAGAGGCTTGCGACGCACGCGCAGACTCAGCAGGCGAGCCCTCTCCGTCCCTGCGGAGCGGAAGTTGAAAAGTTCCGCGCCTGCCCCGCTGCGCTCGCGTAGAGCGGGGGCCGGAAGTAGCTGGGAGACCGAGGGTTGTGACTCCGCGGCTGGGCGCAAAGTGTGCTAGTCCTGTTGGAAGGTTTGTGCAAGCCAGGCCTGTGCACAGCAAGCACAGCCTGGCGGATTGTCACGTGGTCTTTGGAGGACGAATTACCAACGCGCAATTTTCTCTGGGATGTTTTCTTGAAAGTATAAAGGACAAGACTATGCATAAAATTATTTTTTGTTCAAAGAGATAAATGCAGTTAGTAAGCATATTCTGTTCAATGGAATGCCATGCAGTCATTTAAGGGTAATTATGTCCTGTCGTAAAACTACAAAAATACCAACGTACGAAAGATGGCTGAACAAATAAAAAGTAAACAGTCAGTAAAAAAAGAAAACAATGCATTTGCTCACCCTCACAACCAGTCTTGGGCTTGGGCGGTGTGATTGTCCCCATTTCTTTGACACTAGTGAAGAACAACAGGCTTTAAGCCTGGGCCATCTGTGTCAGAGCTTACTAATTTAAACACCGGAGGACATACTTACCCACCCCTCTGATCCTTGGAGAAATTAATGGTTCCTTCCTAAATGTGAGAACACCACCAAAAAATTGATGGGTTCCCAGTAGGATATTAAAACGTGTTGAAGGTATGTGGAGATGACAAGTTATTTACTTCTGCTGGGTGCTAGATCGCTTGCCTTACCTCTGGAGGCTGGGGCAAGAGGGGCAAGAGGGTCTTGGGTTTGAGGGTGTAGCCGTACCCGGTGTCCAAAAAGAAAAGAAAAGGTAAAACTAAATATTGAACTTCTACCACATCAGGAATGTATCTCAAAATATTTTGATAAGTAAAATACAGAATATTCTAGAATCTATTATTAATTGATATGTTCAGAAAGGCAAAATGATAGAAAATGAGATGTGGGTTGGGAATGAAGATTAAGAGATACTTTTACAAGGGGAATGTTCTAAAACCAATTTAGGATCACAGTTGCACCTCTTAAACAGGGTCTCAAAGTGGAGGGTGACTGAGCTCCCAGTGATGGTGTGCACCCCCACACTGGCTGTGGTCTTTCTTTAGATGTGCACCCCACACTGGCTACCATCTTTCCTTAGGTGTGCACCCCCACACTGTCTTTCCTTAGGTGTGCACTCCACACTGGCTACGTCTTTCTTAGGTGTGCACCCCACACTGGCTATGGTCTTTCCTTAGTTGTGCACCCCCATATTGGCTATGGTCTTTCCTTAGGTGTACACCCCCACGCTGCTCCAGTGTTTTCTTGTACTTGCTCCTTTGGCAGAGCTGGGGTTTGAACTCAGGACCTTCCATGTGTTAGCACTCCACTCAGCCATACATCCAGCTCCAAACCACTGGTCCATGTACTTCCAACAGGTACATTGTCTAGTGTGTAAACTAAAGCTGCTTTTGTTTTCCTCTTGATTTTCTGAGACAGAGTTCCTCTGTGTAGCCCTGGCTGTCCTGATACTCTGTAGAGCAGGCTATCCTCCAACTCAGGGATATGCCTACCTCTGCCTCCTGAGTGCTGGAATTAAATGCGTGTGTCATCATGCCCGGCCCTAAATTAAGTTTTAGGGACTAAATGGCTGGTCAAAAATTAAGTCACATCAAAATCACTCTGCTGTCTTCAGGGAATGAGACATACTGTATAGGTTTACCAACCAGCACTTGTTTTAACAAAATGAAGACGTGAGGGCCAGCCGTAATAATCTAAGTCTGGGCAGAAAGGAAGATGTGAGGGCTAGCCGTAATAATCTAAGTCTGAGCAGAAAGCAAGTTCTTTACTTCCAACCATTGTCATCTGAAGCTGTGTCTGGTTTGCTTGGTGCCATTGTCCTTTCTGTTTTTTGTCCTGTATGTCTGTGTATTGTGTGTTGTTCTTTTGTCCTTAGACTGACGCTGACATACTCAAATCATGACTTCTTTGACTTTGATATTCTGACCACTTGCAAGACTTTAGAGATAGGGCCATAAGCATAGCATTATATTTCATAAAGAAGTCAGCCTTGGCCCCAAGCACGTGGCTGCAGGGCAGCATGCCTGTATGGATGGCTGGGCCCAGCTATTCAGCCTTGCTGTTACAAGGTATCGAGGCTGCCAGGCACAGTTGTAGAAGGTGGATGTACCCCAATAGGATTTCAAACACTAAAAAATAATCTGAGGGTAATCGCTATGGCCTAAAGAGGCTAACAATCTTTTTTCCCTGTGCTGCACACCACCCTGCCCTGTGCTGCACACCACCCTGCCCCTGTGCTGCACACCACCCTGCCCCTGTGCTGGTGGAGGAGTTCCTTCCGCCTGCCCTGGGGACTACAGGCCTCAAACTTCTGGTCAAACCTGACCAAGGTTTGGCTCTGCGGGTGAAGGACTCTTTCAGATCCTATGGGTTATAAATATCTGTCATCATTTATAGGGGCTGGTTACAAATTATTGTTGGTTAGTGTACAAAAAAAAAACCCACAAACTTTTGTTGGTCTCAAATGTTTCACACTGGTACAGGATTGTTTATTTTTGTCACCTCAGTCTCCAGTCCACTGATGTGTTTATTTAAAAAATTACATTTATTCACTTATTGGATATGGGTGCTTGCCACAGTGCACATGAGGAAGTCAGAGAACAACTTGTAGGAACTAGGTCCCTCCACCATGAGTCCTGGGACCCACTGCAGGTCACCTGACAAGCTGACTTTCCTGGGACCCACTGCAGGTCACCCGACAAGCTGACATTCCTTGCTGAGCCATCTCACTGGTCCACGGCAGCGCTTGGGTCCAGTCTTCCCTAACTTGAGACTCCTGCCCTCAGCCATGGCAGGAGGCCCACAACCTCTCTACTGTGGTATTCCTGGCTTCTAGGCAAATCTACGGTGTCCTGTGATGGAGGTAGGTGGCCCAAACAGAGCAATCTGGCAGAGGTCTCTCTAGAAATGCCTCTCAGATAGCCTGTGGGACAACCAGGCTTGCTTCCCAGCTCCTGTGTATTGACTGGCAGTGTGTCCGGAGCTGTGGGCACTGGGGACTCCACTTCTGAGGCTCTGGGGGCTCCAGGAAAAGTGAGCTGCAGCGGCCCACATCAGGAACCAGGCAAGACGGCAGATCTTCCTTCCCCAGCCGTCTCTTTCAGGAGTTCAGACCCATCCTGGCCATCATTTCTTCATAGACAGTCCATGCCATGGCAGCCATCAGAGTTCTACGGAGGGCCCGGGGAACGCCGCCATGGAAGAAGCCACGCAGCCCATGGTTCTGTGATAAGAACAGTCAACACTTCAGAAGCAAAGCCGCAGTACAGCTATTTATGCCCTTCACCAGAGACCTCGCTACTCCACTTCAGAACCTTAATTTCTATCTGTAGTACCAAACCAAGGAGAAAACCAAGGAACTGCCAATTTTCCTGTAACTGTTAGGGTCCACCTCTTTAGATCTGCACTACCTAGGGAAACTTCTTAGTTGAAAAAAGAACACTTAGAATCTGGAGTGGTGGTGCACGCCTTTAATCCTGGCATTCTGGAGGTAGAGGCAGAGGGAGCTTTTGAGTTCAAGGCCAGCCTGGTCTACATAACAAGTTCCAGGACAGCCAGTGCTATGTAATAGAGACCCTTTCAAAAAACAAAACAAAACAACAACAACAAAAGTCATTCTAGAATTTGCTTTGCGGCACCCACAGGGCAGCTCATCTTTTATTCCGGCACCAAGGGATGCAGTGCCCTCTTCTGGCCTCCATAGGTACACACACACACACACACACACACACACACACACACACACGTAAAATTAAAGGGATTTTTAAAAGAACATTAAAAGATTTGTCTGGGGTGCCAGAGGTTAAAACCAGATCTAGGCAGCTGAAAAGCTCTCTCTCCTGGGAACTCCCTTATCAGAGCTGCTGCGAGCAGTTTGGTTTGTGTGTCTGTGGTTCTGTTTTCATTGCTCTGGTTTGTTGACTTACTTTGAGATGGGACCCTCACTACCACAGCCCAGACAACACTCGCTTCAAATTCCTGATCCTCCTTCCACAGATGGCAGAGCTAGGGCGAAGGTGTGGGCCACTATGTCCAGCCACCTGTACCATTTATACAATGCAAAGAAGTGCCAAGCAGCATACAAAATACAGACTAGGGCTACCTGCCAAGTTAGGGATCTGGATCAGATTGCTGGAACTGGAGTTACAGTTGGAAGCTGGGAGATAAAATGCCCTTTGTAAGGGCAGCACACACTTGGCAGCTTACCTTGAAGATGAGCACGGCTGCCTGGCCAATCCACTGGGACTTCACTGGGGAGAGTTGCATGTGAGTCTTGATCACGTCTGCAGGCTGAGTCACCAGCGAAGCCAGAATGCCAGCAAATATCCCACAGCTGAAATTAACCAGGGGCATCACAGCAACATCTAACTGGTCTGAAACAGAATAAGAGCACAGACACGTGGAGAGGCAGGGTTAACCAGTGTGCTCAGGGCAGACCTGACCAGAGTCCTGTGATGTGTCTGGACTGGGGTCATGGGAAAACTCATTATTCAGTGTAATGATTTAAAACAATTAATATGCTAATTATATTTATTTCATAGTTACTTAAAACTATCTGACAGTTCTGCAGCACCTGACTGGACAGTGTGGGTGAGAACATCCTCTAACTGAACCGTATAGGTGAGAACCCACCCGAGTGGACGGTGCAGGTGTGAACACTCTCTCACCTCGTTACTGAAGCTAGGTAGGAAAATTTTAGTTTTTATTCACCAAGGACACTGCTGGCTTTGAAGATTCAATATATGCCAGCACTTGGGAGGCACAGGAGGGCAGATCTTTGTGATGTCGAGGCTAGCCTGGTCTACAAAGCAAGTTTCAAGACAGCCAGGGTTGTTACACAAAGAAACCCTGTCTCAAAAAAAAAAAAACAAAAATAAAGTAAAAGATTTAAAATATACATTTCCAATATCAAAAAAGTATTCATTAATTAATTCTAGTTTTTAAAGATTAATGGACGTGAAACTTTAGTTTTTTACTTAATATGTATTCATTGTACACAACAGGTTAAGCCTGGTGACTCATGCCTTAACCCTGTGCTCGGGAGGTGGAGGTCAGCTCATCTCTAGGGTCTCAGCCAGGCTGGTTTACAATAGCGAGTGAGTTCTAGGCCACCCACGGCTACATTTCCTTACTGCCTTAAATTTCTGTTATAAAATGAGACTGTGAACTGCAGGGCACATCTGTTCCCTGGGGGAAGAAGCCAGTCTCCCCAAGTCACCAGGGGTGTTCCCAGTCCCACTTCCCCCACTATCCAGACAGCTTCCTGAGCTCAGGCGCACTCTGCAGAATGGGTTCCAAGCAACTCTGCCTGGTTCTGTCAGCATCTGCCACCCAGACTTGGCTCGCGATTGGCCCACAAGCTTACTGGGGGACAGGTCTGCCACCAGCACCTCAAGTTTGCAGTTCTGGCCCCACCCATAAAGGGCTCAGGACAGTAGCAGGGCACAGCAAGGGGAATGAAAACTTCCTCAAATCCCCAAGCAGTCAGTGTTGCCAGACTGTGTTTGTCTCACAGGGAGTGCTCACTGACAAACACACGCACAGGCTGCACCCCAAAGCTTCAGCCCTAGGGTGTCTGGGGCACGCTATTGCAGAACCTTGTCAAAACACACTTTGAGTCGCACCCAGCCCACCCTCTTTCCTTTACAAGACTCCAGCACTATAGGACATCCTAACACCCAGCCCACCCTCTTTCCTTCAGAAGACTCCAGCTCTATAGGGCATCCTAACACCCAGCCCACCCTCTTTCCTTTACAAGACTCCAGCTCTATAGGGCATCCTAACACCCAGCCCCAATCTGGCTCCTGTGGCGGTTTGAATGTAACTGGCCCCATAAGCTCATAGGGAGTGACACTATTAGGAGGGGTGCCTTCCTGGAGTGGGTATGGCCTTCTTGGAGGAAGTATGTCACTGTGGGGTGGGCCTTGAGGTCTCAGACCACTTCCTGTTGCCTGTAGGTCAAGATGTATTAGCTCTTCGTTCCTTCTCCAGCACCATGTATCCCTGCGTGACATCTTTTTCGAGACAGGGTTTCTCTACAGTCCTGGTTATCCTGGAACCAGCTCTTATAGACTAGGCTGGTCTCGAACTCACAAAGATCCGCCTGTCTTTACCTCCCGAGGTTGGGAGTAAAGGCATTCACCACCACCACCCAGCCTGCATGACATCATGTTGCACCATGATGGTAATGGACTGAACCTCTGAACTAAATGTCTTCGTTTGTATGCATTGCCATGGTCGTGGTTCTCTTCACAGCTCCATTCCCAACGCTGCTATGACTATCCCAGAGAAAAGGGGGAAAATGCAGCCTCTCAGAGACTCCTCTTGCCAACCACACACTCCCTTACCTGTACCATGGAGCACTGCGGTTTTGGTCTGGCTGTAAAACATCAGGTAGAGCCCTGAAAAGGGCGCGTCACGCAGCAGAGTTGCTGTCAGGCCTCTGAAGAGGCCCCGGTGGCCCTCGCTGCAGTAGATGCTCCTCAGGGCTGCATAGACGCTCCCATAGCTGTAAGTCCCACTCTACAAAGAGCAGATACAGTGACCAGCACAGGTCAGCATCTGGGCAGTGGCCCAAGCAGATCAGGCTGCATACCATCACCAAGGAACCTGGCTTTCCTTCATACGTGGCTTGCCCTGCCTACGAAACTGAGGTACCTAAGCACATTTGACCCCGAGTCAGACTACACACCCGGGGAACACAGGTGTTCACTACCCTGATCCCTAAGGTTCTAAAACTGTCTGACTTACCTCATAGCGTGTCTTAATCACTGTGATGGGTGACATGCAGACTCCTGCGACAGAGCGTGAGCCCATGCCCAGGATAACGGACTCCAGGGCGGTGGGAGGATGGCCTCGCAAGAAATACTGCTTCAAAGAGTACAGAGTGCCAAAGTAGATTCCGACGCCAGGGACACACCTCATGATGGACTGCGGGGAAAGGCAGAGGGAGGGAGGATGAAAACAAAGGCTCAAAACTGCAAGGTGCCTTCTGGGAGGGTGGTCCACATGCAAGCTGCTTGTTTACAGTGTGGAGGGAACACCAATGGGAAGAGGGGCAGCGACAGGGCAGGCAGCAGCCAATGAGGAGTATATCAGAGCAGCTACAGCTGTGGGTAAGTCAGTCCCCTTGGCAAGCTTTAGCCATCAGCGAACATCCCACCCCTTGCCATCTCTCTGCTGAAGGGGCAAGTGGTTAAACATCACTTCCCATCTTCTAGTGGCTGAAGGCTGGAGGGTGGGAACCAATGCTTGGCACTTCCAGCAAGGTGGGCCAGAAAAAGCCTTTGGGTGAAGAAATAAGGTGTGGTTGTCCCAGGCCACTTTCCCAGTGGTGGCAAAGGTGAGGCTACACTGATAGGCAGTGGACGCCAGCCCTGGAGCTGGTGCCATGCTAACAGTTGTACTTTAGGAATAGAGACATCAGTGGCAGTACAGGGACAGGGAGGAAGTCAACAATCCCCTCATATCTGTCGGGAGGGGGTAGCCAGAACAGTGGAGAACCCTGAGCCCTATGCACACTGCACTTCTTCTTCTTTTTTTTTTTTAAGAGTGCAATTGTTTTTATTTCCCGAAAAAGTCCAATTTTAGTTTTTCTTTAAAGCATACAAAGGCCATCTAATCTTCAGACTCTGAGCCATCTTCATCCTGACTAATCTGGAAATAGCGAAGTTCGTAGGTCTCCTTGTCAGATGCAACCACACGAAGCCAGTCATGGAGATTATTCTTCTTAAGGTATTTCTTGGTAAGATATTTCAGATACCTTTTAGAGAACTGTTTCTCAGAAACAACTGTGATTTTATTCTTCAAGCATTCAATGTGAACAACATTTCCAAGATTTCCAGTTTTCCCATTGACTTTAACCTTCTCCCGGAGAAACTTTTCGAAGTTTCCAGAATCAAAAATTCCATCTTCCACTGGATGAGTGAGGTCCAAATGGAACCTCCAGGTTGACTTCTTAGGCTTCTTGTCTTTCTGCGGTGCCATATTGTCCCGCGGCCGTGGGAAGGCTGCACACTGCACTTCTGTCTCCAATGTTCAAGTATAGGTGACAAAGTTGCACTTATAAACAAGGCTCAGTCATAACCTTTGTGTGTCTGTAACCTCCCTTGCCCTTACATCTTACTGTCCTGTTCTCCCTCTGCTTGTGATATTTGGAGCCAACGAAACACCTGGGGAGGAGATGATGCAGTGATCGACACAGGCACCGGGTGAGGTCAGGCTACTACTGACCTGAGGACCTGTCACGGGGGGGCCAGCCACGATGATCCCCATGGCTGGACTGAGGAGCAGAGGTGCTGACAGCCAGAACATATTGACCAAGAAAAGGCTGCCTTACTTCTGAAACTGTTCAAAAGAACCAAGACCGGTGTCCTCCCTTCAGCTTACCCGAGCTGCTGCAGGAGTCACAGCCCTTCAGGGGAACTCAAGGACGATCTGATTGCACAATTTTGTCCTTTAACGTGCAATCTGAAACACTTGGGCAAACCTGGACAATATCTACATCCATGTTTCTTCTCTGTCTTCTGGTAGGCGACTCAACAAGGTCCTCCCATGCCTCACTTGTTTCTGTTTCCAGACAGGATCTCATTCAGTAGCCTTGTCTGACTGCTAATTCACGGGGATCCCCTGCCTCTGCTTCCTTAGTGCTGGGGTTATGCCCAGCAGTTACTTTAAAAAGAAAGTTTATTTTTGTTTAGTGTATAGTGTGTCTGTATACGGGTTTGTACACGTATGTGAGAGAATGCAGAGTCCAGAAAAGAGCGCTGGATCCCCTGGACCTGGAGCTACAGTCAGTGTGAGCTGCCTGACATGGGCGCTGGGATGGAATCCAGGTTTAAACACATGCTTTGTTTGCTCAACGCATGCTCTTTACCACTGAGCCATCCTCCAGTCCATTAGCACTTCCTGACGGCCTTCAGTCTGCTCTCTCCCTTCCTGTCAGGCAGGGCGCAGGTCCCCCTGTGCTGCGCGGGCACCTTAGAGAAGAGCCTCACTGCTTCACCTCTGTCCCCTGGCTCAGCTTCCTCTCTCCACAGTCACGCCAACGTGCCAGAAACACGGCAGCCGCTTCAGTCACAGGTATGGCTTGCTCTTGCCCAAGGCAGCTTCTGAAGGCAGGTAATGCATCCCTCACTTGCGCTGTGGTCACTCACTTCAGGAGATCTCTTGCTGAAGTCTTCAGCAGGCTCAGTGCCCTCTGGCAGACCACGCTGCCACCAACTAGATCATATTTTCTGTTCCTGTCTCCACTCACAAATGCAGTGTTCTGTCCACTTAACCTAGAACTTTCCACACGCCATGGCTGTGATCACATTGCACCATTAACTTCTGCAATCCGAACTATGACAACAAAAATAACCTGGATCTCAGGACCTCCAGGGTGCACAAAGAAACGCTGTCTCAACAAAACAACAACAACCACAACAACAAAAGCCTGGATTTCAGGACCTCCAGGGTGCACAAAGAAACGCTGTCTCAACAAAACAACAACAACAACAACAACATCCCACTGTCTGCACCAGTGCTCCTGTGTGCTGAGGGCACCATAAGTAAAACACGGGCTGCCAGAACACAAAGCTCAGGATTCCCAGCAGGTGATCTGACTACTAACAGCAACTGAGTGACGGCTGGGCGAGTGGGGAGCATGGCTCTGATGTGAGTGACCCCTCACACTCAGAACAACGCACGGCTGAAAGCTTATGGACTACTTATGTCATCTACAGAATTTTCTATTGAATGTTTCAGAGCAGGGCTGCCTGCAGGGAACTAAAACCACAGACTATGATTTGAAAGGGAAATGTCCCTTGCAAACCATGTGTTTAAACACCTTGTTACCAGTGGGTGGTGCTGTTCTGAGAGGCAGTGAAATGTCAGAGGTAGGCTTGACTGCTGGACTTGGGTCACTGGAGCTGGCTCTGAAGTATGTCATAGACCCACTACTACTTCTGGCCGAGGCTCTCTGCTTCCTGGTTTGCTGAGATGTAATGAGTTGCCTCATGCCCCTCCTCCGAGACTGTGGAAAGCTATTCCAGCTGCCATGCCTTTCCCACCAAGATGGACTCCCATCCCACACAAGCCCAGACAAGCATCTCCTCTCTTGAGCTGCTCCTGCGAGGGTTCTGGTCCTAGCCATGAAAGGTAACACACGGATGGGGAGGAGCTACACAGACAGGGAGGAGCTACATAGATAGGCAGGAGCTACACAGAGAGGAGCCACTCAGATTGGGGAGGAGCCACACAGTCGGGGAGGAGCGACACAGGTGGGGAGGAGCCACACAGGTGGGGAGGAAAGACACAGGTGGGGAGGAGCTACAAGGATGGGGAGGAGCCACACAGATGGGGAGGAGGTATATCTAACAGTGACTGTGAGCTGGAGGAGAAGGATCACTAAAGAAGTGAAGCAGGAGAACCAAAAGGCAGCTTACAGGAGACATTCCTTTCCAAAGGCCCAGAGGACTTTCTGTGCGAACCACCTTCAAGAACACAGCCAACATCCCGACACGCCTGGACCTGAAGGAGACAAAAGGGACAGGAAAAGAAAACAACTATTAGACCAGACCGTCACAGTAGAGTTCCCACCAAAGACTGTCTAAAATACGCAGGAATCTCTATACTAAATTTTATTATATATCGTGTGTGTGTGTGTGTGTGTGTGTGTGTGTGTGTGTATACATGCAAACATCTGGAAGTCAGAGGACAACTTGCAGGAGTCAGTTTTCTTCTCCCACTTGGGTCCTAGGGATCAGTCTCAGGTGGTCAGGCTTGCAGTAAGCACCTGCAGAGATCACCCATCTCAGCAGCCCTGGAATTCTTCATTTCCACGTGTTCATGGTTTGGCACACGCATACTTAACTGTTTATTCACACCACAAGCAATGGAATAAACTATACTATACATAGTAGCTCCCATAGTGCTCCAGAGACACAAACACATTCAAAATGGATGCTATTTACAACAAACAAACAGTACCAGGCAGCACAGTTACAATGTCACAAGCTTGCACCTGGTAGCATAGTTACAATGTCACAAGCTTGCACTAGTATTGGGAAGCATATTACAATGTCACAAGCTAACTCAAGAAAAATGCAAATGTCACCAAAGAAAGTCCTCTGGAGCTGACCAAAAGACCCCAATTAACCAAGAAAAGTCAAATTATAATGTGTTATAAATAACTATACTAACTTTTTCTTCAGAAAACAGTATCCACAAAGCACATGGCCCAATACTCAGGAAACTGAGGCAGAAGGGTTGCAAATTCAAGGTCCGCACAGGATACACAGGAAGACTCTTGTCTGAAGCATACACAAACAGCAACCAAAAGGAATTCCAGCCTGGCTTGTGTTTCTCTATCATAAGGAAGTTGATTTAACTTGTAAGGCTAATCCTGTGTCTGAGAAGTTGCTAAACCTGGTTCCTCCATGAAGCAGGGCAACAGCCTACCGTAGGTCCGAGGGCTGTAAGGTCTGCAGGCGTGTTTTGAGGAGATCCAAAGGCTGGAAGAGGAGGGTGGAGCAGGTCCCACTGATGGAACCACAGAGGAAAGCCTTGATCACCGGATGTAACTGCAAGAGACCGTGGTGTCAGCAGGCCTGGCCACTAAGCCAGCTCCTTTGCCCACACCTGCACCTGAAGCCCTTCAGGCTCCACCTGTCACAATCCTGTTCTAGCCAACAACAAGGCTCTCTGTTTCCTGACTCTGAACTGTGACCACTTGCATCATGCCCCTCCCACAGGCTGTTCGGAGCTACTCCAAGTGCCAGGCTTTCCCCACCAGGATGGGAAAGTAAAGTCTGCAGCCAATACTGAAATGTGCACAGCAAAAGGGACCTCTCTGGTCTCACTATTACTGCTATAACGCTGGTTCCACTATGTCCATTTCACAGCAAGCATCCCTGTCTGCCCTGACTGAAGAGTCACTGACCATGGTCTCATTCTGAGAGTAGTCTTAGCTGTTGGCTTCCCCAGGCTAGTTGGTTTAGGATCTATAGATGTTTATAGGAACAAGTCAAAAGCCATGAGGACCTAAGCTTGGCCACTGTGTATAGCTTCAAAGTACTCCATCAATTTCTGTGCTTAGAGCTTGGCCTTTCAAGCCAGCGGTGGATGTGGTTGCGCACACCTGGGAGGAGAGGCAGGCAATCTCTTAGTTGAGACCAGCCTGGCTTACAGAGTGAGAGCGAGTTCCAGGACAGCCAGGGCTACACAGAGAAACCCTGTCTTGGGGGGGGGGGTGTTAAAAAAAAAACAACAAAAACAAAAACAAACGAAACCCCTCTGCCTTTCTTCTACCCACCATCTCTCTCACAGAGACCCAGCGGACCACACTGCACAGTGCAGTCACTGCTGACTTGCGGCCCCGCCCTCAGCCCTGCATCAGCACAGGTTGCCTTATCTTCTGGCTCCACACAGAAGGGCAGCACCCTTTCAGACACTCAAGTATCTCCCCTAGGCACACCCCAGGAGCCCCAGCTCAGGGCCTGGGCTTCCACGACAGTGTCTGTCCCCTTTCTGGAAAGCAGCAGAGTCACCAATGGCAATGAACAGACACTTCGAAACTCCTTCTCCCACCAGGACACTTGGCACAGCCCATCTGGGGACTCTCTCCCCCCATTTAATGACATCTCATTCCCCACCCCCGAAATCAGACAAGATTAGGGGCATTCCAGGTGGTGTGGCCATAGATTACTTATTTAAGTAACTGACACACTGTAATCCTAATGGCTTACTAGGAGGACTATGAAGTCTGTTACATCAAATTACCAGGACCCCAAATGTCATCAGAAGCACCCATTCCAGAGAGAAGAGAACCCACCCTAACTTCCATCAAACACACCTGGGGTTGGCGTTAAGCCCACGGGGACTAAACAAGTTCTGAGAGTTGAAGGCTCGATGAGACAACCGCCTGGGTGCCAGCAGGGCTCCCAGAAGACAGCCGGCACAACCAGGCAGTGCGCATTTCAGCACCTCTGTACTGGCGGCCAGTGCCCTCTCCCCAGAGATGCCAACTATTCTGCCAATCAATTCCCCAAAACTCTGCTCAGCCTTACCTGAGCCTCTGAAGTGTTGGGGGGTTCAATCCCCTCACACACCAGGTCCCTCTCTTCCTTGGACATCTCTTCCGTATCTGGAAACCTGCTCCAGAGTCTGTTTCCAGTGCCAAATCATACCATCTCCACTCCCACTGTGCCAGTCACTCTCCAGGCCTTGGGCTTGTCATCTAGCCAGAACTCCTCCAGTAATGCTCCTGCAGATTCACTGGGCCCGCACATCCCAGGCCCCCTCTTCCACCCTGTCCTTAACTTTGAGTTCTTAGGTGCATTTGATATCAGTGACCACCTCTCTCTCAGTACTGGTTTCTTCCAGCACCCACCTCACCCCACTGCTGCTACAGGTCTCTCCTCCCTCTGCCGGCACCTCAGTGCTGTTCCTGCTCTTATCTCGTCAGTCTGGAGCCCCACCCACAACCGGTCACAGGCATTCCCCATTCCCACTGCACCCACCGACCCTCCAGCCAAACTCTGCCATCCCAGTATTCCCACAAACTCAACAGATCAAACTGAAAACTTGGGCAACAGTCCCTCACCTGCCCCCTCCCCAGCCCCAGGAGGCTCGCTCTGCCTGCTGCTTTCTGACCATGCCCTGATGGCTGGCCCACTGGTCTGCCCTAGCCATCCCTTTAGCCTAAACAAGAGAGACTCTCTAAAGGACTTTATTCAGGAACGAGCAGGGGCTGCAAATGTGTGCCAGGGGTCCCGTGAGTATTCTCGAGCCCTCTCGTTCCAGCCCAGTAATGAGCCCCATCCTCTCACTCTGTCTCCCTCACTTCTCTGGCCACTGCTCAGTCGTCTTCCTGAGCCAGGCTCTCACATCTCAGCAGCTTCAGCTTCCTCCCTTCCGTGCACAGACTACTGCTCACGAGCTCCAGACAAGCCACACTACTCAGAGCTCAGAGCTCAGAGGTCTCCTCAGGCCACATTTTGTTTTGTTTTGTTTTGAGACAGGGTTTCTCTGTAGCTTTAGAACCTGTCCTGTAACAAGCTCTTCAGGCTGGACCAGGCTGGCCTTGAACTCACAGAAATGCACCTGCCTCTGCCTCTGGGTACAGGGATTAAAGGCTTTTACCACCGTCCGACGTTTGTAAACCTGAGCTCTTCCTCTCTCTCCCTTAGGCCAACCTGCTGCTCCCCAGTGGCAGCTGTTGGACCCCTGCTCTTCACCTATCTGGTCTGGGCTTCTCCACACCAGTTCGCTCTGCTCCTGACCAGCTCTCAGCCTGCCTTCTGGACCCATCCTGGCTCAAAGAGCCACCTCTCCCTCCCTGCTGACTGCCAGGACCTTTTTACCTCAATCTTTGACCCCCTCCGTCTACTCCCTCTCCTAAAGCCAGGGTTATCTTTGAAAACTGCAAATTGGAGTCTGCAGCGTCAATGACACCGCGTTCTGCTTCTAACTCAAACAAGCCAACAGGACGGACCCAAGTCATAAGTAATGGCAAACACACTAGAAACTACTAAACATGGCAAATCTGTCCTGAGCGTTGGTTCAAAGGAAATCAGAACTATTAGTTGGCCGCTCTCTAACTCTCCCACGACAGTCATCTACCGCTGCGAGGCCCCGGAGCAGCACACCGCTCTCCTCCCCTCCCAGGCCCGCACATTCACATCATCCACTGCCATGGAGCTGCTCTCCCTGCCCGTCTCACTCTGAGCACCCAGACATTAGCCTACCTCCATCTGTGCTGCTCCACTGATTCTCTTGGTGACACCCGGAAAGACCCCTGTGGCCATCATCCCTATGACCAAGGGTGCAAGACAAGAGGAGACACAACTCCTGTCTCCTGCATGCTTCTGTAAGAACTGGCATGGAAGCAAGGCATGGTGGCAGACATCTCTGATCCCAGCATTCCAGAGGATGAGGCAGAGGGGCAACCTGATCTACATGGAGCTCAGTGCTCCATGACAGCCAGAACTACATAGAGAGGCTCTGAAAACACAAAACAAAACAAGACCTGACCGTGGGGCTGGTGTGCAGAAAGTGTGCAACACAGATGGATGAATGATTCTGCCTAACAGGAAACCTGTACCCACTTCTCCTAGAGCAGAGACCCACAGGATAAGGCCCAGTAGCCCCTGCATGCCCTATCCCAGAACAGGTTAAGGTCACCCCAACTCTTTCCAGCAGTTTGGTCCAGCAAGGTTCCAAGAAGGAACAGTAATTACACCTACGTTTATCTGTTCTGGGAGCTGAGCCTAGGCCTCATGCACGCAGGCAAGCATGCCACCACGAGCTCTACTTCCAGCCCTGCTCCTCTTTATTTTAAGGCTGCCATCCTTCACCTCCATGCTGGATGGCAGAAACTGCATTTTAAATGTCTCACCTTCACCACCCAGGGACCAAGCACATCACTGGCCCAATAAATATCCACTGAACCAACTTGTTTTTGTTTGGCTTTTGTTTTTCAAAACAGGGTTTCTCTGTGTAGCCCTGGCTGTCCTGGGACTAGCTCTGTAGACCAGGCTGGCCTAGAACTTGGAGATCTGTCTGCCTCTGCCTCCTGTTATTAAAGGTATGCATCACCACCATCCGGCCACAATGTCAATTCTAATAGATAAACCAATAACTAAAAACTAAAAACTAAAAAAAAAAAAAAAAAAAGAAGAAGAAGAATTAGGGCCGGGCGGTGGTGGTGTACGCCTTTAATCCCAGCACTTTAACCCTTGCCCAGGCAGAGGCAGGCGGATCTCTGTGAGTTCAAGGCCAGTCTGGTCTACAAGAGCTAGTTCCAGGACAGGCTCCAAAGCCACAGAGAAACCCTGTCTCAAAAACAAAACAACAACAAAAAGAAGAAGCAGGTAGCTTAAACTGCATCGTGACTTTTGTATATGTGCAGCATATTCTTTGAGTGGATTAGCTTTTTTTTTTTTTTTTTTTTTTTTTTGTGGGCCTATGGTTTTGAGACAGGGTTTCACAGGGTCTCACTATTCCAGATCTACCTGCCTCTCCAGGAGCCACTGTGCCGGGTCCTGGGTTTAGTTTTATTTGTTATAGGGATGGATATTGAGGTGCCTTACCCCAAGAATACACTTCCAATTTTAAGACATTTAATTTATGTTCAACCCTATTCACAGCTTAAAGGTGAACATTCCAATTTCCTAAGCATGAGAATGGACAAAAACAATCAGAAAGGGCTGAAGAACAGTCAAAAGGGGCTGGAAAGCGGTGTTACCCCAGAAGGCCATGGGGTTCCCAAGAGCCATATGGGAAGGGGTGCTCACAACCACTTGTAACTCCAGCTCCAGGGGATCCCAACACCCTGTTGGCACCTGCACTCTTGTGTACATACCCCACCACACGCGCGCGCGGGGGCACACACACATACACAAATATAAACTAAAAGCATAATCAGCAAACACAAGGTATCATTTCAACAGCCAATTAGTTCCACAATTTCTAACCACCCACACACAAAATCCCTACGTCCAATATAAACAGAAGGGGAAAGATGGCAGTCCAAAGAAAAAAGCTAAGTAGTTTTGAAAGACGTGATCCCGGAGCCGCCATGGTTATCTTTAAAGATTTCCAAAAAGCCACACGCGGGGGAGCACACGCCTTTAGTCCCAGCACTCTGGAAACAGACAGGTCAGTCTCTCCGAGTTCGAGGCCAGCTTGGTCTAAATAGCGAGCTCCAGCCAGGGCTGCACAATGAGGCCCTGTCTCAAAAACAAGTAAAAAAATAAAATAAAAAATTTAAATCTATTTCTAAAGGAGTGCGTCCTCCTCCCAGATAGGGGCACCGCCACCCCAGGTCCGCCCGGCCTCCTGACGCACCCCCGCCTCCGCCTATGGCTGGCGAGGACCCGCCCCCGCCTCCGCCAATGGCAGCCCGGCGCCTGGCCGCGCAGCCAATCTGACCAAGGGAGCATGGCCTTCGCGAGGAGAGGACGCTGAGGCAGCAGCAGATGGCAGGGAAGCGGGGCCGGGAGGGCGGCCTGAGACCCGGGGTGACCGGCGGTGCTCACCTCCATGACCGGTAGCGTGTTCTAGAACGAGAATGTTCTAGAAGCAGATGGCAGTTCCCGACCCGCTCCCCCGTCCCCACGTTACCATGAGCGTCTCCACCGTGTCCTCCACGTCCTGCGGCGGCAACAGCGCAGAGCGCGCCTTCTCGATCACGGGGGACGCGAGCCCGGCCCCGGCCACGGCGAGGCTCCGCGGCTCCGCGCTCACGCCCATCCCTCCCCGCCGCTCCGCCCCGCCGCAGGCCTCAGTACCCGAGTCTAGCGGGTCTGTGTTTCCGGGAGGGGGGGCGGGGAGGAGAAAGTGGGAGGAACCAGTCAGGAAGGTGAGAGTCCACTTCCGCTTCCGTTGATGGAGCCCGTCCGGCGCCGAGTAGCGTTATGACGCCACCTGGTGGCTACACGCAGAACTGCAATCTGCGGTTTTTAGTTGGAGACCCAAGACTTGCCCCCGACTGCGGGCGTTTCTTTTGATGGCTAAAACGTTTTTTTGAAATGTGTGACTGGCTGATTTGTAATTGTATTTAATTTTAATTAAATTATATTTAAGAATTTATAGCCGGGCGGTGGTGGCACTTGCCTTTAATCCCAGCCCTCGGGAGGCGGAGGCTGGTAGGTTTTTGTGAGTTCAAGGCCAACATGGTCCACAGAGCTAGTTCCAGGACTGCTAGGACTGTTTGCACAGAGAAACCCTGGCTCTGGGGGAAAAAAAAAAAAAGAATTGAAGCAAGTTGGGATGCCTTCCTTTTAGACACGTCTTTTAAAAAATACAATTCATATTTCTCCATTTATTTATATGTTTTTTTATTTTATTTTTTGTTTTTCTAGACAAAATTTCTTTGTGTAGCTCTGGCTGTCCCGGACTTGCTCTGTAGACGAGGTTGGCCTTGAACTCAGAGATCCTTCTGCCTCTGCCTCCAGCTGAGTGCTGGGATTAAAGGCGTGTGCCGCCACAGCCCAGCTTTTCAAATTTATTTTTGTAGACTTTATTTTAATTATGTGTGTGGGTGTGTCCATGTGGGTGTGGTGCCGACGTAGGGCCGGTGGAGGCCAGAGAGGGCCACCAGATCCCCGGGGCTGGAGTTACAGGCAGTTGCGAACTGCTTGCACGGCTGCTGGGAACTAACCTCAGGTCCACTACCACATCTCTTTTTTATTTTTTGAGAATATCTAGCTGCATGACACATGATCAAATCCAGCCTCTGTTCCCTCCCCTCTGGTCCCTCCTCCCATCCACATTTCTCTTGGAACACTGACCGTCTGTATGTCAATCACATGCCTGATAACTAAGATTTATAAGATAAATTATATTATTACTTTCTTAGTCAGTTTTGGTCTTAGAGATGGAACCCAAGGCCTCAGGTTTGCAGCAAGCACTGCACCATCGAGCTACACCTGGCTCCATTCATGCATTCACTAATGCACACATGCATTTATTCAGTAGTTTATCCGAGACTGGGTATTGCTGTGCACCTCTAGAGGGCCTGCAGCTCACTAAGTAAGTGAGGCTGGCCTCAAACTCATTGAAATCCACCTGCCTCTGCCTCCTGAGTACTGGAATTAAAGATAGGCGTCCCCAGGCCTGACTCATTAATAATTTTTTGTGGTGCATGTTGAAATGATACTTTAGATATATTGGGATCAATGAATTTTTTTATTGATGTTAATTTCACTTGTTTCTGCTCTTTAAATTTTGGGATTATTTTATGTGTATAAGTATTTTACCTGCATGTATGTATACTGCAAGTGTTACAGCTCTGGAGGGAAGTCAGGCTCTACCTACAGCTGACCTATCGGGAAGTTAGGCTATCCCTGAAGTTGGGATCCAGTGGGGACCTGCTCCTCCTGGAGAGAGAGCCTTTATAGCTGAGCTCTGCTCTGCTCCGGAGGGAGTTTCCCAGCAGGGGTATCGTTCTAGGCTCCAGCCCCAGATGTTACTTCTCTGCTTTACTCTGGTAATGGGAAACCCCTGCAGAAATGTAGCATCTGCTGGGCTCTGGCAAAAAGTTGTTACTTCTGCTCTGCTCGCCAGTGAAAGAAGATCTTCACCCAAAACTATTTCAAGAAAGATTTATTTGGGAAGGAGGAATCCAGTAGAGTGGCTGTCTCTGCCAGGGTAGAGGACAGCTGCCAACTGAACAGACACAGGGCTTCTACAGGGCTTCTCAGGGGCAGAGTTTTTACAGGGAGAAGATTTTCAGGTCGGGAATTGGTCAGATTTCAATCCCCTGGGGTTTAGACAAACTCAGATTGGCCATATTTCATTCTCAAGGATTGGTTGGTATTGTATTCAGTTGGCCAGGGGCAGATTTGGCTCTGGTTTCAGGGTCAGGATGTGTTTCTTTGGTTCTGGTTTCAAGGTTAAAATGTGTTTCTTTCACAGGCTCTGGGTTCAGGGCCAGGGTGAGTTTCTTTGACTGTCCCTTTTATCCTATGTGTACTATATGCATGCAGTGCCCAGAGAAGCCAGAAGACGACATAGATCTCCTGGAACTGGAATTACAGATGGTTGTGAGCCACATGGGTGCTGAGGACCAAACCTTGGTCTTCTGTAAAAGCAACAAGTACTCTCATTGCGGAGCCATCTCTCGAGCCTCCTCTTTATGCTTCTTAAAACACATCCACTAGACCATTTAAAATACCACATTGGTTTGTGTTATATTTCTTTTGGATGTTACCAGTCCAGATATCTCAAATGTGTGGTTTGTGGCTCACTCGCACATTTTGGTTTCCAGCTTCCCGTGTAGCTATGTGGCAGACGTGTGGAAGAGATCCTGATGCTCTTGTTGGAAACACATGCACATAGCATCAGTGCCTGGCCATCCCAAGAGTAAAATCTGAACTTACAAACATGCCATTTCAGAGCCCAACTGCTGCTCAGGCGCAGCCCCTGCAGCAACCCTTTTGCCTCACAGGTAACGCCCTTGTCTGTGAGTCCTTAACTGACAGACCTCCAGGTACTAGGAGCTCTCATCTGCAGAAGTGAGTTTACTTCAAAGGAATATCGATGGCCACACATCCATCTCCCCTTCCCTGCTTCCTATCTGAAGTCAGGAAGCCTGGCTGCAGGCTTGTGCTGTGATCCTGGCTACTTCTATGTCAACTTGATACAAGCTAGAGTCACTGAAAGTGGTGAACCATAATTGGGAAAATGTCTCCATAAGATCCATCTAAGGCATGTTCTTAATTAGTGTTGGGGGAGGGAAATAGCCCATGGTGCATGGTGCCAACCCTGGACTGGAGGTCCTGGGTTCTGTAAGAAAGCAGGCTGAGCAAGCCATGGGGAACAAGCCAGTAAGCAGCTCCCCTGCATGGCCTCTGCATCTGTTCCTGGCTCCAGGTTCCTGCCCTGTTTGAGTTCCTGCCCTGACTTCCTTCAGTGATGAACAGTGATACGGAAGGGTAAGCCACGTAAACCCTTTCCTCCCCAATTTGCTTTTTGGTCATGGTGTTTCTTTTTTCTTCTTCTTGTTCTTTTTTTTTTTTAATTTTATTGATATTTATTGAGCTCTACATTTTTCTCTGCTCCCCTCCCTGCCTCTCCCTTCCCCTCTTCAATATTCCCCCAAGGTCCCCATGCTCCCAGTTTACTCAGGAGATCTTGTCTTTTTCTACTTTCTACTTCCCATATAGATTAGATCTATGTAAATCTCTCTTAGTGTCCACATTGTTGTCTAAATTCTCTGGGACTGTGGTTTGTAGGCTGGCTTTCTTTGCTTTATATTTAAAAACCACCTATGAGTTAGTTCATGTGATAATTGTCTTTCTGTGTCTGGGTTACCTCACTCAAAATAATGTTTTCTAGTTCCATCCATTTTCCTGCAGAATTCAAGCAGTTGTTATTTTTTTCTGCTGTGTAGTACTCCATTGTGTAAATGTACCACTTTTTCCTTATCCATTCTTTGGTCGAGGGGCATTTAGGTTGTTTCCAGTTTCTGGCTATGACAAATAATGCTGCTATGAACATAGTTGAGCACATGTCCTTGTGGTACAATTGAGCATCCTTTGGATATATCCCCAGAAGTGGTATTACTAGGACTGGAGGTAGGTTGTTTCCTAATTTTCTGGGAAATTCCATACTGATATCCAAAAGGGCTATACCCAAAAGTGGTATTACTGGGTCTTTTTTTTTTAAATATTTTTATTTATTTATTATATATCTGTCTGTGTGTATGCCTGCAAGCCAGAAGAGGGCACCAGACTTCATTACAGAAGGTTGTAAGCCACCATGTGGTTGCTGGGAATTGAACTCAGGACCTTTGGAAGAGCAGACAATGTTCTTAACCACTGAGCCATCTCTCCAGCACCTTACTGGGACTTGAGAAAGGTTGTTTTCTAATTTTCTGAGAAATTACCACACTGACATCCAAAGAGGTTGTACCAGTTTGCATTCCCACCAGCAATGCAGAAGTGTTCCCTTTACCCTACATCCTCTCCAGCATAAGTTGTCATCAGTGTTTTTGATTTTGGCCATTCTTGCAGGTGTAAGATAGAATCTCAGAGTTGTTTTGATTTGCATTTCTCTGATGACTAAGGATGTTGAACATTTTTTTTAGTGTCTTTCAGTCATTTTAGATTCCTCTGTTGAGTCTCTGTTTAGGTCTGTACTCCATTTTTTTTATTGGATTATGTGATCTTTTGGTGTCCAATTTCTTGAGTTCTTTGTATATTTTGGAGATCAGACCTCTATCTGATGTGGGGTTAGTGAAGATCTTTTCCCATTCTGTAGGCTATTGTTTTGTATTGTTGACTGTGCTCTTTGCATTACAGAAGCTTTTCAGTTTCAGGAGGTCCCATTTATTAATTGTTCCTCTCAGTGTCTGTGCTGCTGGGGTTATATTTAGGAAGTGGTTCCCTGTGCCAATGTGTTCAAGTGTATTTCCCACTTTCTCTTCTATAAGGTTTAGTGTGGCTGGCTTTATGCTGAGGTCTTTGATTCGTTTGGACTTGAATTTTGTGCATGGTGATAGATATGGGTTTATTTTCATTTTTCTACATGTTGATATCCAGTTATGCCAGCACCACTTGTTAAATATGCTTTCTTTTTTCTCATTTGATATTTTTTGCTTATTTATCAAAGATCAGGTGTTCAAAGATGTGTGGATTGATAGCCAGATATTCTATTCAGTTCTATTAGTCTTCCTATCTGTTCTTATGCCAATACCAGGCTGTTTTCAGTACTGTAGTTCTGTAGTAGTGTTTGAAGTCAGGGATCGTGATGCCTCCAA